TACACGCGGTACGTGCAGGCGTGCCGGATTGCGGCCGCGTCGTTCCCTTGATTGCACGCCACGGCTTCCTCGCGCGACCGCGATTTATTACTGGAACCTGTCCCGCCATGGTTGCTCCTTACGATCATCGCCGCTATCCCGAATTTATTTTATATCGCAAAATGTTACGCGTCAGCGGACATGATGACCGCTTTCCTGTTGCGCTTCATTTGTGTGCATGTTCCGGTTTTAATTGGCTCCGGAGATTGTCCGTTACTGTTCGGTTTAATAACTTTGTTACGGATTTTGGGTAGTCTGTAAGAGGGTGGAATGAGTGTTTTTGATATTTATGTGGAGTAATGTATGTACATTCATGTAGAATATGTAGAAGCTGGATTTCAGAAGTGCAATTTGTTCTTGAGGTTCCTAGATTCTTATTAATAGGGTTCTTAATATCTGTACCATGTTTGGAAGAAGCTTAATCACTCTTCTTTAACCCTGCTACGTTCTTCGAGTCTTTTTTGGCTTAATCAGGTTTTCATTTTTTCAACATCGTTTTATTCGTATAATGTTTTCGATTTGTGTTCTGATTTTGTTAAGAATACTTTAAATTCGTGAACGGTGTAAGGAAGTTGTTACTGTTCTACGTGACTTCTATCTTTACTAAATAATGATTCGAATGTACGGATAAATCGAGGCCTGTAGAAGGGTTAAGTGGTAACTCTAAAACAATCGTTGCATCATGCCGTTCAATGGAAACTCGTTGATTCGAGATTATAATTGGAATTGCCGTTGAAGGGTCTATTTGGTCATTTTTCGCTGCTAATCATCGATTTTAGAAGGACATTAAATAACCGTCGATAGATAAAGTGTTACAACGTTAATGTAATGCGAGAATGAATCCAGTTCTCGTCGATTTCAAATATAAACGTTGATCTAGTTAGTTAATCTTCCACGTTGGTGGGAACCCAACGCTGTTTCTTATTAATTTACGAAGCTGTAATTTTACCGCGAGGTCTATAGGACAAGAGACGTGCAGCTTGGACAAGGCCCGGTGCCAACCAACCACCTCGTTCGACGCGTGTTTGTCTTTTTTTCGCGCAGTACTTGCGCGACGCTTACGAAAGACAAGCGTACACGAGTTCCGGGGGGTTCAATGAAGTGCACATCCGACAAGCTCGCGTCTAGACGTCGAGGTTCGGTGAGCA